GTCTCCAAAGCAGCGCAGCGGAGGAAATTAATGTTCCTTTTTTAGGCGGGGAAGGCAAAACCCAACGGGAAAGATGCCTGAAACTGACGTCTGATGTCTGAGCGAGTGTGGCAGATTAATGATACAAGAAGGAAGCCAGCCCCCGCCCCCTTTGGAAGCCCAAAAATACCAAAACCAAAACCGACCTCATGCCAGCCTGATTAGCTTTTTGCGATGGTCATTAGTCGCTGCTCAGTAGGAATTTGGCTTTATGAAATTCCAAGAGTTGCCAACATATGCAAACTTGAAAGAAGACAGTGGAGGGTAGGATAATAGGTATAGTTTGATTAAGAAAGTAAAGTTTAATTAATAATTAAGAGAAAAAGTTTGAATTTTATAGGAAATAATATATTTAAGAGCCCCATAAATCTTTTTAAAACTTATCTTCGTTTTCTTTAAAAATGTAAGTATAATTAAAAAATAATTTTTTATGAAAAATATAATTATTTTACTTAGGGAAGTGCCATTTTTGATTTTTAGGAATTTTAAAACTCAGATTAAACAATCTTTTGGTAAACCAATTTTTTTTTAATTTTCTGACAAATTTCAAAATAAAAGCAGAACAAGGATTTACTATTTTCATACAAAAAAAAAATTCTAAGATTACCCTAAACTTACTTTTTGTAGTAAATAAATTTTCAAATAATTTTCTAGTAAATTCCAAGTTAAAAATTAAAGAAAAATCAATATCAAAATATATATATTACGTATTTCCTAGCTTAAAAAATATTCAACCTTTAATTAATTTAAATTATATTACCACTACCTCCTCCCTTAACCTCTGCTGTTCCAAATACTCATATGCGGCAGCTAACTAGGAAAATAATAATAAAAAATATTTATATTTATATATAATATTTCTTTTTTGCTCAAACCAAATAACTTGAAATGCCTTTTTGATGTTGTAGAAATATTCATGCTGCTGACTGGCAGCAACTACAAGTTTCTCGCATTCATATATGAAGAAAGGGATCTTATAATAAATTCCAGTACGGGCAGACGAGTTGAGGATGATGGGAAAAAGGACGAACGACAAGGATTGCCTCAATGGCAAGAAGGAAACTTTTCCCTCCACCTCCTTATCCTTCTTCCTTTTATTTTTTTGGCCAAATTGTTGCATGCAAATGCGATTGAGTGTGTGTTGTAGTTTCATTAGGATTACAGTTAGCTTACAGTTTTGCCAACGCCCCCTTTTACCCACTTCTCCACCCCCCTTCGTCCTTTTTGCGAGCTGGTTATTGAGTTATGACGCATGCGAATGGTAAGCAAAAGTATGGGGGAGAAAATAAAAATTTGCTGCTTATAAAAGTCGGTAACTATACCCAAGCACAAAAAACATATCCGAGCTGATTTCAACTTTTATGTGGCAATAGAAGGATGAACTGGGGAAAATGGGCTATGAAAATAGATGAGAATGAATGAAAATTTGTGTATTTAAAAAATATTTAAGGAGAAAAGCTAATTCCAATTTTGTTTACTAAATCAAAATCGTTTTAAAAAAATTAAATAATTAAATAAATTACAGATTTTATAGGGTAGACTTTAGAAAAGTTGTAACTCAAGGAATATCACCTTTAAAATTTAAATGTTTGGCATAATTAATTGTAAATAAAATATTAAAAATATATATTCGATTTTTTATTATAATATGAATTTATTATAATATATTATTCCCAGTGCATAGTTGTATGTGAGTTTGTGCAAGTGTGTGCGAGATGGCATAACAAAAGCTATGGCAATAAGCATGGCAGCCAAGGCTGAGAGACATGGCTCGAGAAAATCACAGCAGCCAGACCCCCCCAACCAACCCTGCCACCATCCACCTCACCCCCAAATGCTGGCATCCCTTTGAATTGAAGTTGCAGCTGATCCATGAAAATATGTTGCATGCAGCCCCACCAGCAGCAGCAGCAGCCAGCAGCAACAACAAAATCTCGAGTACTGCTACTTACAGCTTGTGGCTCATAAAAAAGACCAAGTAAAAATACAACTAACACAAAATCTATAAAAATGTACAGAAAATTGAGAAGCTGCCTGAAGAGCTTAGGCAAATATTTGCGTAAGAATGCAATTTAGATTAGTTTAAAGTGAAAACATTTCGTAAGAAAACGACGGAAATATAAATGTGTGAAGTAAGGGATTAAGATTTGGGAGAGTTCTTCTTCTAATTGAGTTATTTGAAAAGAAAGGTAAGGGAATTTATGGGAAAATATTATATAAAATATATCAATAATAAAATATAAATATAAATTCTAAATGAAAGATAAATTTTATATAATAATAGCTCAAGTTTTAGAATTCTTTCTTTTTTGAAAGGGTTCATTTAAAATTGTTCCCAGTTTCTGCGCTAAAATTCTTTTAAACTTTGACCTATAATTACCATCAACATCTATAAACCTTCTACAAACTTAGAGTTATCCTTTAGTTCCCCGATTAACCCCATTTCTCACCCTTAATTTTGACGTGTGCCAATCCCCGTTTAAATCCCTCAACTCTTTGGCTGCCCCATTCGATTGGTTTGTTTGTTATTGGTCCTGCCTCCATTATCGATTCTGGCTTTCGTTCCCTTATCCTTTTTTTCCAAACCCGGAATCGCCACCCATTTACCCGAGGACATTTCCTTGTTTGGCGAATGCTGTTGGCATGTAGCTGCTGCTGCTGCTGCTGCATTTTACATTTTTACTTCGTTAACTTGATTTCCGCTGCCAAATGAATGCAGCCTGGCAAAAGTTGACAGCTTGAAGCGATCGAAGCTTCGACGCTTAAAGTTTAAATATTTGGTTACCCGTGCAGGCTGGGGAATTTACGGGGAATATGCGAAATTCAATTTACGCCAAACAAAATCATAATCCATCTATCATTCATCAGGCGGCGGCGAACACTTGCCGCCAGCGGAAGGAACTTCATAGATACGCCAACCTGCAGGCGGCCCAGATACAGATACAACGCATATTAGGATGGCAAAAGGAAATGGATAAGGGCAGGGGGTGTGGGTGGAACTCGGCAGGATGGAGGATGGATTTTCCTGAGGGGGGGCGGACCTCTCATGCCGGGGCTTTTCTTTATTTCTTTTTACATATTTTGTTACGCTTGTAAAGCTCAAATCCCCAACGTATAAGCATTTCTACTTCAGTCGCTGCTCAGTTTAGCAGGCTCCCCAGCTCCGCTTTTTATTTTCACAACCTCTTACTACACTGGGGGAAAATATGGGGGCTTACAAGAAATTAAGAACTTGAAAGATACTTAAGAAAATAATTATTTAAAAATTATTTAATCTCGAAATTAAGACTACCTTGTGAAAAGCTTGATATCTTTAGTATCCAATTTTAAATAAATACTTTATTTGCATTTTCAATAGTTTTTTATTTAAAATGTTATTTTTTAAGGAACATTTAGAGAATAGAAAACACTGTGAAATTAAAAACCGCTTCAAAAGGTATCTGAAAGTATGCTTTTGATAATAATAATAATAATAATTGTTTGTCTAATTGAAATTTAAAATATTTTCTTCCATATTTCTTAGAACGTTTTCACCTTTTTAAAATCCCCTAGAAATTCCTGTTTTACTTCCTTTTTCAAATTATAATTTCCTTTTCATACTCTCACATATATTTTTCTCTGTGCACCTCTAGTACTACCTCCTTTCCCCCCTTCAACCAACTCTTCCCTTTCTCTTTTCCCCTGTTTGTCTTTGAATTTGACAAAATGCGTGGCTGGCATTTGCCAGATAACGTGGCTTCTACTTGCTTTAAGGCCCGCTCAACAAATGGCCAGAAAACGTTTCGAAACCGTGGTGAGTATCCGAACTGCAAGTATCTCACGGATCCCTTGCTCCGAGAGGGGCAAAGATACTCATAGCTCACGCACTTTTTTTGCCAGAGAACTTTTTACCCCTCAGAGTTTTTTTCTTTCCATTTTATTTTCCTCTTTTTTTTTTGCTTTTTGCAAAGGAGAAAGGCCCAACACCTGAGGGTAGAAAGAGAGGTGGTCTCGCCGAGTGATAAAGAGGGGTATATGGCAGAGAGAAAGAGAGCGTGTGGCAAGTGCGCCGGCGCTTTAAATTCAACTTTATGAGCAGCGCTGCCAACGTCGCACTTGATGTTTCTCCCTCGCCTGTATTTTTTTTTTTGTATTTTTTTGGGGGTGGCATTGCTTTTGGTCTTCCAGTCCCATGTTGAGGGTGTGTGTGTGTGTGTGAACCACAAAAACAAATGCCGCCGAGAAGTAAGTTCTGTGGGCAGTAGCTTCTGGGCCTTGCGCCCGGCAAGTCTTCGTTCTTCGGTCTTCGGTCTCTCCGGGAAAACTCCCCCGCCAATGTGTCCCAACCTCTCCTCTCGAAATCCTGTCGACGCCGACGCCTCGCGATTACTCCAATTCGTGTCTGCCTGTCCGTGTGCGATAAGAAATGCCAAGTCGAGGACCAAAAGTATCTTATTGGAGTCGCTGGCGGATTCATTCCTTAACGCGACGCGTCTCGGTGCGGTTGTGCTTACAGGTTTATCCCGCAATAAAAAATAATACAAAAATAAATCATAGACTTGCCGTGGATTAATATTGTGACAACTTTACATTGTTTACTTGGACATGATAATAAAAATAAAATCAATGGGAACATCAAAAATAATTACAAAATTTCTAAAGATGGAAGCTGCATCTTGAAAACAATCCAAAGTTACTTGGGTAAGTTGAAGTGGTGACCAAAAGTGATTTATGAAAAGTGAATTTTAAATAAAAAAAACGGTTTTATGAATTTTAATTGTTGCATTTATTTTGATTTAATTGTATTTTATAAAATATTTTTAAATTATTATTATTTTAAATTATTAGGCAGTGTCAGTGATTTTAATTTAAATTTTGTGACGTCTGAAAATATTAAGACTGCTGGGACAGCCGCATAAAAAATATTTAAAATATATTTTTAAATAAAAAAATATATAAAATATATTTCTAAATACACTTGGAATTAATAAAATAAATTTACCAGGTTTTTAAATTTGTTTGTCATTGAAAAATAATATTTAAACATTTAAAATCGAATTCCCAAAAGTGTCATAAAATTCCTGCTTGAGTTCCAGTGAAATAAAATGTACAATAATATGAGTATTTTAGTTTTAAATGCCGGGCTTTACATAAAATACACATTTTTTTAAAGTAAAATAAGACTTTCGAATTTATTTTAATACTTTTAGGAATTTTTTACATTTATATTTCTGCTTCGATGAGATATATTTTTGTATTTCCGAGGTATGTGTTTTTTAGGGTTTCTGAAATAATTTATATATTATGAAAATTATTATTTAAAAGCTTTATAATGACTTTAAAATAATAATTATCATTATATAGATATTATTTCAAAAGCTTTTATATTTAATTGGCACTTTCACAAGCATCCACCCAGTCATTATAAACATCAATGGGCTCTGACAGAAAGTTAATGCCATTTTGGTAATCTTCTAAACACACTCGACATGTTATTTTAGCGATATTTCTGTCCTTATCCATTTTCACTTCACAGGATTTTTCATGATTGCAGAAAGGACAATTAAATTGTTGGTCAAGTGGTTGAATATTTTTGCGTTTTGGCGGTGGTTTCCTGTTTGACTTCCTTCTACCCATAGTTTAATTTTGAAACTAAAAGATTTTAGTCGGTAAAATCGAGATGTTCTAAAAGAAAAGTTATAAACTATATGATTTCATTAAAATAATTTTTCCAAATGCTATTTTTATGTTATGAAATGAATATACCAATTATTGGCAAGGCAAAGAAATTTTAAAACTGAAGAATGAATATATTCCTTATTCAGGCACGATTTATAATATTTGAAAAAAAAAAATCACTAGCATTATATTTTTTATTAGGTTTTACGATAAATTTTATATTTTTAAATTGGGACTTCATTTAGGCTTTTTTTTTGCAAGCAAAGATATTTAAAACTGCTTTAAAAATTACAAAATGTTTATAATAAACCTTGTACTCTATTGAATTTCAGTAATTTTTATGATAACAAAATTTATAAAATTTAATTTTGTATTAAACCCCATGAATTTATTGACACTTGTTTTTTTGGGGAAAATATATTTTTAGTTCACAGCCTTGTATTTTTTTTCGAGACATTTAATAGCAAGTTCAAGTAACTTCCATGGTTATTATCACCTTCAAAAACCGATTTCCACCGATCATATTTTCATGATCATTTAACGAAAGCAAAACACAACCGCACCGAACGAGGCAACGCGCCAAAATAACATCACATCCTGCAAAATCAGAGGCAGAAAACGAAAACAAGGACTCCCTGGCAGCCGGCAAAATAATTGCATAAATTAAAATCTTAATTATGCCGGGCCATACACAACAGAGAGCGGCTGCCCGAGTTGCTTTTGCTCTCGGGCTCTGCTGCTGCTCTCCTTTTCCGCTGTGACGTCACCAAATGAGCGCGGTACAAAATGAAAAATGAAACAGAGAGCAAGAGAGAGAGAAAATTAAACAAGAGGAGAAATTTGCTTGGCGGAAATGAGGGCTCGCTGCGGAAAATATGCAAAAATGCGACGGCAAAATTAATGAGTAACAGGAGCAATTCTGCCTCAGTCGCTGCTGCTGGCTCTCTGCCTGCGTTGGCTTCTCTGCCGCGGGGCTCTGCTCATTACTCAAATGAGAAGCGCAGGACTCGTTGTCCTTGGCCGTGATTTTGGTCTCATGTTCGTGAGGCAGCCAACCCCCCTGCCCCGCCGCCGTTCATTAACATAATTTTAATTTGGGTTAGTGAGACAAACGGGCGTTGAACTTGGCTGGGAAAAGCAGGATATACAGGATACACAGTATACAAGGACGAGCGAGAGCAGCTGTTGGACACAGCATCAGAATTTGCTGCTTGATTTTATTTTGGAATATGTTAATGAGTCTCGCAACCCCATAGCCTTACACCCTTTCGCTTTCTAGTTTCTAGTTTTTTTTCTGACTCTTTTTTTATGCAAATGAGCTTTTTTTCGTGTGTTGTTTAGGGGTCCTTTACCTGAGGCTCATTTTTTAGGGGCTGCTGCAGCTGGCTGGGATTTAATTGCAACTCACACACACACACACACACATCCTTTTCAGCCAGCTAATTTGCATAAATTTTTTGCAATTTCCCTTGAAATTCTTTATGCAAATTCAAGTGCATTATTTGCAAATCATGTTCCGCGGGCAACTCTCCGTTGTCGTCGCTGTCAATTACCGAATTGATTTCGGATTTTCAGACTGATGTGGGATGGCTTGAGTGTCAGTTCTGTGAGTAAAATTCGCGAATTGGGATTGCCAGCTCACTTTTAGGGGGGAGCTATGCTGCCTTAGGGTTGCCTACTCTGCCAATTATGAGCTTAAAACCTATTTAGTAACGAGTATAGAGGTAGAGGGGTTAAAATTTAGACGAAGAAGAGGTTGTAAAATGTCAATCAAGGCTTAGAACTAGATTTTTTCAAATATAGAAGTAAATGAGGGGTAAAAAGTTTGGCATAGCTGGTAAATATATATTTTATACAGCTTCAGGTTGAGTTAAAATATTGAAAAATATTTGTTTAATTATTAAAATAATATTTTATAAATATTTATCATTATTTGGTGCTTTAAAAAATTAATAATATTGTTTTATTTTAGCAAATAATATTAAATAAATATTTATCATTATAAAACACATATTTGGTTCTTAGGAAAAATGAGAAAAGACTTGAAAAAGAAATAATATATATAAAAACGACTCTAAAAAATTTAGAGCATTATTGAAATTTACCAATTTGATTAAAACCCATAAATAAATTACTTAAAAAATCTATTAATTTTAATTTATACATAATATTATTTAATGATTTCTTATTGTATAAAGTCTTAAAATATTTATATTTCTTCTTAATCAACATTATAAATATTTCAAAACTATTAGGCTACCCAAAAAAAATTAAATAATAAATTTCTTCTTTCAAAAAATATTCACCAACCTATTAATAATTTAAACAAATGATATTTACAGCCACATTTTACATTATATCCCCCTCTTCTACCACAAAAACCCATATCTAACCGCTCCCAAAAAATAGAAGAAAATAACCCCAGGACCCCACCCTTCAAATCGATATCTTAACACCCAGCTTTGTCAGATGCGTTTCCCGATTTCGTTTCGCCATCAATCGCGATGCGAAATCGTTTTAGATAAGGCTCCCCTCCCATCCCATCGTTGGCCATTTATGACAACGCATCCATAGTTCAAATCCAAAAGCGTTTTTCCACCCGCCAAAAGAAACTAAATGGGAAAAAGGGAAAATAGCCGCCCACCAAATACACACACGCACACAAATGTACTCATGGAAAACTGCCATTTTCTTTTGGCATTTCGCACACACATGCTCGGAAATTTTGGAGCAAATGTTTGATGGTTGCTGTACCAATACAAATACAAATACAAACAACAGCCACAGACACACGAAAGTTGTGAGGGTAAAGACGACAGCAGCCACGAAAAAAAAGAAAGGAAAATTGAAAAAAAGACCCACACATGAAAGGCGAGGGTGGGTGACTTTTCCAGGGGGTTGGTTCAGTGCCTCGTGTTTCCATATTGGCATGTGCAAAAAAAAAAGAAATATAAAATTGGAAAAAAATGAGAGACAGCACCAGCGAAATAAACCAAATATTGTATCTGCGGCTGCCGAGGCTCTTGAAGCTCCCTTTACAGTCCCTTTTAACAGTACTTTTACACTTTAAAAAATTGTTTTTAAATAGGGAAAAATGTATAAGCCTAAAAAACTAAAAGTTCCATTTAAAAAATCCAAGTTTTATGTATTTGTAATCAAAACCAAATATCTAAATTTCTCATTTACTTTTTCCTTCAGTGTACTCCATCCTTTGTGCCTCCTTGTCTTGCTCTCCTGCTTTGTGTTAGCGTAATCCTTTTTAGCAAAAAGCGAACGCTTGATAAAAAAATAAAAAAAAATATATGAAAAAACTACCAGTGGAAAATACATATCAAAATGTTGAAAATAACTGACAGGACGACAAGCTCTTTCCCTGGTAAAACCCCCACTCCCCCCCCTGGTTTTACACCATCCTAGCTACCAGGATGTCTCTATCCTTGACGCTGTAACTCCATTGCCATCCATTTCTCTGTCCAACTGTCGCGGGTTTTTGAAGGGAATTGAATTATAGTCAGACATACATGAAGTTTCCTTTAGCAAGAAGCTTCTACACTTGAAGTTATACCAAAAAAGGATATTCAAAGGGATGTTTTATAAGTTGGAAAAAATATAAGAAAAATCTAAGACAACAAAGGGAAGTTTAAGAAGAAAATAAAACAGAGCTAAGGCAGTTTAATTATATATTTAAAATGTAATTTGTTATATAAATTAAATAAATAGAAGAGAACATAGTTTATTTATACATTTTATGGCTTTTCTAGATTTTAAAATTTCGTTTTCTTTGCCTTCCCCCCCATTTCCCCCCATTTCCCCTTCAATTTCTTGTTTTTCTTATGACCTCCAAAGTTCGTTGAATGTTTGCCTTTGTCAGGTGTGCCGACAAAACCAATTTTCAAATATTTTCACTTGGCAAAATATTTGCTTGACTAAACACAGATACACACCCAGAGAGACAGGACAAACAGACAGACAGTCTGTCAAAGTCAACAATGCCACTGCAGTGAGTGAGAGTGAAAGGTTTCGCGCTGAATAAATCCTTTAACGAGGCAGACGGGACAGATTATGCAAATTAGCGGCGAACAAGTTTTTATTTTTTTCGCAAATCAATAACAAGCATCGAGTCAGCAGCTCAACAAAAAAAAAAAAATTTGCATAAATTTCCACACTCACCTACGGACAGCAGGGAAATTCCTTTTTGCCTTTATTAGTTTTTCTGCGAGCGCATTCGACATTTTACAATTTTTACATTCTGCAATTTTGCAATTTGATTTTTTTCTGCGAAGGAGGGAGGATTTGAGGCGAGGCGAGTTGGCAAAATATGCAAATGAAGCTCAAGTTGTTAGGGTTGCACATTTGCCGCGGGGGTTTGAGGGTTGATCAGCGGAATATATATATAGAGGAATAGTATTTGCAAAGCGAAATCTTGTTATTGATTTTCTAAAACTGAAAAGATATAGTTGGGAAATCTAGTTTGGAGATGTCAGGCTTAAAACTTGATTGGTATCTAATTTATAATTTAAATCTTTATTAGATCTTTTAATTGAAAACAAAGTATTATCTTTGCTTCTGTAATTAAATTTAATTTTAAAATATATAAAAAAAAAATATAGCCTTATTCTATTTATTTATACTGGAAACCCCTTATATTTTAAGTATTTATAAGCATCACCTTCTTCATTCCTTTAAAATGCCCTTTTAAAAATCTTAAAAAAATATTTTTAAATACTTTTTAAAATTCCCCTTCAATTAACTTTTCAAAATAAATTTATTTAAATATTTCTAGTGCCATTCACCTTTCTAAAAACACAAGTTTACAAATCCTAATCCCAGAAATCCCTAAAAATTCTCATCTTAAAAATAGACCTCTCAACGCTTTCCTTCCTTTTTGGCTTTTTCCACAAACAATTTGCTGCATTCCTTGGATTCTCTGAGAAAGAGATTGAAAGAAAGAGGAGAAAACTATAACAAACAATTGTGTGCTGTTAAGGAAAAACATTTTCAATTTTTCCACAAAGCAAACGTTACGAGTCCGCGCCAACTCAAGCTCAAGTACATTTAACAGTATTGCCCCTCGCTCTGCGTCCCTTTGCTCTTCCCCCTGAATAAAATGCAAAATATTAAGCATAAAATATGTAACCCATTTCAAAGGGAAAATGGGGGAAAAAGCGTGGAAAAGCTGAGAAGGAGAGGGAAGGTACTTGGGACTGATGCTTGGCGATGCCAAATCTAGAGGCACATTCTGGCAGATTTACTGCATATTGGCCCGGCGTCAAAAGCAGCCAAAAATTGCGCGTTGCTATCCCCAAAAGGTTCCATTTTTACCACCCACTTTCCCTCACCTCCCTGGTTTTCCCATCAGCCCTTCTTCTATATGGATTTTTGCTGCCAGCGCCTCTCTGTGTACAGAATTTGCTGGCTGCGACTGGTTCTGGCAGTCGGCATTGTCCTTGTTCTGGTCCTGCGCTCTCGTGAATTTATTTCCATCATTAGTTTTGGCACTTGAAGCTGAACATAAATGTGATTTATAAAGATTTTTTTTCTCCATTTCTGGAGACTCACACAGAAGTACACTGAGA